TGAGGTGTTTTTCAGTGGTCCTTAAATCACAAGCATGTCCACAGGTAGTTTCTAAATTAGAAGGGCTGAGTTCTACTGCAGCAGAGTATACACATGCATCCCAGAACAAAATAATTAGGTTGAGGCATTGCTCTAAGTTTGCCGTTTCAAAATTAAGTATGCCATTGAGCATTAAAAGCAAGGATTAAAATTTCACAAACTTCTAGTAGTGGTGAAAACTTCTGGCACATGACCAAATTCTAAAAGAACCTCAGCTGTTTTAGAAATAAAACATGTGCTTCCAACTTGAAGCAAAACTCTTTAGGATCAGATCTGTATATACAAATAAGAAAACCAGATTAAGCCGGGCGCTGGTGGCTCACGCCTGTAATCCTAGCTACTCAGGAGGCTGAGATCTGAGGATCGCGGTTCAAAGCCAGCCCGGGCAGGAGAGACCGTGAGACTCCGATCTCGAATAAACCACCAGAAAACCGGAAGTGGCGCTGTAGCTCAAGTGGTAGAGCGCTCGCCTTGAGCTGAAGAGCTGAGGGACAGCGCCCAGGCCCAGAGTTCAAGCCCCACGACTGACAAAAAAAAAAAAAAAAAAAAAAAAGAAAACCAGATTAAGAGAAGTCTTTCATAAGACAAAATGCTAAAATTAGCATGTAAAATCAAGATGGGGATTGGTGTTGGCTACAATTCACAAAAAAATTGAATAATTACATTCCTAAAAATTTAAATATACATATTTCCAAGAGTATGTAGAAACATCAGTATTCATCATTACTATAAGACAATTCTTACAAGGTCATATGTGAACCTTAAAAAATAATTTTACAATGACTTAGAAGGACATAGTTAAAGCTCTTCACTGAGGGATAGGTGTATTAAATTCTTTCTCTTGTAATAAAGGAGTCACAGCTTCCCACACTTCCTAAAAATAATTGACTTGTTATCTCAAGACATGTATTGGGATCTACAATTCACCTACTTGCCTAATTATATTAAAATTAGCATCTCAAAAGCCTACCCTACTTTTATATAACATTCATTTATTTTTCAGACAATGTAAAAGACTAAAAATGGAAAGATTACAGAATAATATAATAGGAACTAAATCAAATTAGAAGACACTTGTTCATCTGATCATTTCTTTGTTAAACATTTGAGTGTAACTTTAGTACCATACAATGGAAACTGAAAAAAATAGTTAAATTCCTGAAGAAACATGATCTATATGTTATCAAATGTGAGATGTAATCAATCATAAGACAGTCTTAACAAAGAAGGAGAAAATGCTTTTAATTATGATCTAATACTATGAATGATTCATACCAACCTTGCTCTGCTTTGATTTTATTTGTCTACTCAGTAAAAAATGGCAATTTCTCCTGCTTTCAGTACATTCCTTGACATTGTAATTTTTTTTTCTTTACTGTTGGTCATGGGGCCTTAACTCTAGCCTGGGCGCTGTCCCTCAGCTCTTCAGCTCAAGGCTACCACTCTACCACTTAAACCACAGTGCCACTTCCAGCTTTTTCTGCTTATGTGGTGCTGTGCAATCAAACCCAGGGCCTCATGCATGCAAGCACTCTACCACTGAGCCACCTTCCCAGCCCCTGTAAATTATTTTTTTTAACGCTAGTACTAAGGTTTGAAGTTGGCCTGCATGCTGTCCCTTAGATTTTTCATTCAAGGCTGGGTGCTCTACCACTTGAGCCACAGCTCCACTTCATGTTTCTGAATGGTTAGCTGGAAGTAAGAGTCTCCTTGATTTATCTGCCTGAGCTGGCTCCCCATCTCCATTCTTACATCTCAGCCTCCTAAGTAGCCAGGAGTTCAGGTGTGAGCCACCAGTGCCCAGATTCTTTGATATTTTAAATGTCAATTTAGAAAATATATCTGGGGCTGGAAAGGTGGCTCAGTAGTAGAGTGCCTGCCTTGCACGCATGAGGCCCTGGGTTCAATTCCTCAGCAGCATATAAGCAGAAAAAGTCAGAAGTGGCACTGTGGCTCAAGTGGTAGAGCACTAGCCTTCAGCTGAGGGACAGCACCTAGGCTCAGAGTTCAGGCCCCATGACCAAGCAAAAAATATATATATATATGATATAAAGAGAGATGATATCATATGGCATATTTGATATATCATATGGTATATTTGATATATATTTATATACCTCATATATATATACATCTCAGTACAAAACAAAGTTTCTCCTACTTCCAAGTGTTTCTCTGCATGACTCCTAAACCCTGCTTTTAAAGATATGCTAATGCAATTATGACGATTTTTTCCAAGGGCAAATGTTTATTTCATTAATATCAAATTTATACCTATTTACAAATTTATGTCTTTTTCTCTATATTCAATGTTTATTAAAATAAAAATTTTCTCGAACATATGACAGTACTGAGACAGTGTCCATAACTCAATTGAAGTGACAATATTGAAAATCACCATAACTAAAGTGCACAGGAGTTGATAACCTGAAGAAATGACCACCTCAGCGAATACAGCTGAAACATCACTAACTGCTAGATACACTGATTTCAGAGGCATTGAAATAATTCCGAAAAACAACTCTCACAGCTCCACACCATAAGAGCTACACCCTCTCATGTAGCACTCTGCAGTAAGCACCATTCTATGTACGTTACGTATACTATTTCATGAAAACCTGTGAAGTAGATCACACACTTGTAGACAAAGAAACTAAAGCAAGGGGGATAAAGTGCTTACCCAATAGCTCAAAGCCGGCGTGAGGGCAGGCCAGCATCTGAGCCCGAGCAACCTAAATTCAGAGGCTATGCGTGACTACAGCTTAATCAATAACTGGCCTTGTGGTCTGACGTAAATCATAAGAAAAGGGATGCCTCTGCTTATTTAGAAAAGGAAGAGGAATCCACGGTTATGGAATCCTTTCCTAGAATCAAACTATCATAATTCCACAATCTCTACAATAAAAACTCTAGTTCTGTGCTATTTTCTCCATAAGCCAATACAAACCAAAGACTTTTACTATCACAGACTAATTAGTGAAACAAATGCATCTGTCACCATTACTCTAAATGACATACTTGGGAAGATATTTAAGAAAACTATGTCCTACTGTAATCTTAGCTACTCAGGAGGCTGAGATCTGAGGATCTCGGTTCAAAGCCAGCCCGGGCAGGAAAGGCTGAGACTCTTCTCTCCAATAAACCACCAGAAAACTGGAAGTGGCGCTGTAGCTCAAGTGGTAGAGCACTCACCTTGAGCTGAAGAGCTGAGGGACAGCAGCGCCCAGGCCCAGAGTTCAAGCCCCACAGCCGACAAAAAAAAAAAGAAAAGAAAACTATGTCCTACTATGTTGAAAACAAACTTTACAACTTCAGGGTGGGGGAGGGAGGAGTTGGGGAGGTGGGGAGGGAAGGGATGGGAGGGGAAAAACAAAGGAGGGGTAACAACGCTCGATAGGAAATGTATTCATTACACATATAACTGTAACCCCTCTGTACAGTATCTTTACAATAAAATATATGGATTAAAAAAAAAAGAAAACTATGTCCTTGAATCACTGTTTCTCATCTTTCATGTGATAGCAAAAGGTTGCTGATCAAAGATACAAACGATTCAATGGGAAGGTTTTACTCCACTATAAATTTTACCTAGTCACTTAAAATCTTAATTCAAAATTAACAATGTGTCAGTTTTTATGGCTATTCACAATGTGGAGTTCCTATTTTTCTTAAAAGTCAGTTCATGTAGGAGAGAAAAGTCCACTAACAGATTAATAACAGATGCAAATGCTGCACTGTTTTCCTTCTTGACGCAATTTAAGAGTGGAATTAAATAAATATACATCATACACTAGACAACTCTTCTACCCCAAGAGGGGTCACTGTAGCCTTTGGATTTCTTATCCAGGCTGAGGCAGCTGTTCTGCCTCCTAGGTAATCTCCCATATAACCACAGGCTCTGCGATCAGACAATGAAGATAATTAAAATAATTCCTGCTAGGCACTAGTGGCTCATACCAGTAATCCTAGCTCCTCAGGAGGCTGAGATCTGGGGATTGTGGTTCAAAGCCAGCCCACGCAGGAAAGTCTATGAGACTCTTTATCTCTTATCCTCGGCACTGTCCCAGGCCATCAGCTCATAAATAAATAAATCCTCATATTTCACTTCGAAGCTGTCCTATACCATAGTCAGTAAAATCAAATTGCAGTGTCTTCAGAGCTTTCGTTCTTGTTTCTTAAATGTCAAATATATCAATTTCAGTCCAATTTTCTCATTTGTTGACACATAAAAGAATCTGTCCTATCAGAAAACAGAGAAACATTAAAAAGTTTCTGAGAAAAAATGAAAGGAGGAACATAAGAGAATATTGGCAAAAGGGAGCTTAAAAACAAAATAAAGGGCCAGGTGCCAGTGGCTCATGCCTATAATCCTAGCTACTAAGGAAACAGATCTGAGGATTGCAGTTCAAAGCCAGCCCAGGCAGGAAAGTCCATGAGACTCTTACCTCCAATAAACCACCGGAAAATCGGAAGTGGCACTGTGGCTCAAGTGGCAGAGTGCTAGGAAGAGCTGAGGGACAGTGCCCAGACCCAGAGTTCAAGCCCCACAATGAAAGAAAGAAAGAAAAAAAGAAAGAGAGAGAAAGAAAGAAAGAAAGAGAAAGAGAGAAAGAGAGGGAGGGAGGGAGGGAGGGAGGGAGGGAGGGAGGGAGGGAGGGAGGGAGGGAGGGAGGGAAGGAAGGAAGGAAGGAAGGAAGGGAGGGAGGGAGGGAGGGAGGAAGGGAGGGAGGAAGGGAGGGAGGGAGGGAGGGAGGGACTGGGAAAGAGTAAGGTAACAGAAGGCACTGTATGGAAATATATTCATTACCTGACTCAGGCAATTGTAATCCCTCTGTACATCACCTTTATAATAACAACGAAGTAAATTAACTTAAAAAAAAACAAAACAGAAGAAAGGAGATGCTCAAAGGGACAGAGTCCTGTGTAGAAAGACTAGTACACAGGGTCTTACTCTTACATACCTTCCCATGCTGCCCCAGCCTTTCATAACAAATGACCACGTCTTCCCACATCTCTAGCTTCTCAAATATTTGAAGGGCTGAACTGGTGCATCCCAGCTCAAAGAGCAAACTTGCAAGTTGGCGCTAGAAAAACAAGTTAGGATATTTAACATTTGTTCATGTACACAGATATTTCGGTTTCACTTACAGGTTATAAAGAGGAATTTGTGATAATCAAGATTACTTCAGCAAGGTTCTTTATAGGAGATGAGGAATTAAAAAACTATATAGAACCTGTTCAATTTTTAAGAACAATTATTTCCTTCTGACCTAAAGATTATATATGAAAATCTCTATTTGTAAGCGTAAGAGACAGTAGATGAGTTCTGAAAAGTCTGAGTAGGCAGTGTAGATGACATAAATGTTATGTCAGTCATCTTGAACTATATACAAGTGGACCTGTGACTCTTTCTCACATAGGTTTATTCAAAATTTATTTTAGGTTCATTCTAATAAACTACTGCTTTTCCTAGTCCCTGGGAGATAAGCAGTAAACTAGGATAGAGTCAATGAAGGGTACACATACACAACATATTATGGTTTAGAAGTATGTAGTAAGAAACAAGGTCAGTAAGCAGTAGTAAGAAACAAGGTCAGAAAGATGAAAAGGTAGACAAGATTCTTCTTTTTTTTTTTTTTTTGGGTCCGATCGTGGGGCCTGAACTCTGGGCCTGGGCGCTGTCCCTCAGCTCTTCAGCTCAAGGCTAGCACTCTACCACTTGAGCCACAGTGCCACTTCCGGCTTTTTTCTTTTTGCTTATGTGGTGCTGAGGAGTCGAACCCAGGGCCTCAGGCATGCAAGGCAAGCGCTCTACCACTGAGCCACCTTCCCAGCCCTGACAAGATTCTTCTTATGCACACATTGCATGCATAGTATTGGCACTTGAACTCAGGGCCTCAAGCTCTCAATTGACTTTTTCAATCAAGGCTGGCACTCTACCACTTGAGCCACAGCTCCACTTTTGTGTGTATGTGTTAGTGTGTACATGCACACACGAACATGTACATGCATTCTATGGTACTGGGGTTGAATTCTCCACTTCTGGGTTTTTGCTGATTAATTGAAGATAAGAGTTTCCCAGACTTTACTGCTCAGGCTGGCTTCTGTTCTTAGAGTTCAACCTCCTGAGTAGTAAGGATTACAGGCCACTGGCATCTAGCCTATATGAGATTTTTAAATAAGAAATAATTTCATTAGTAAGAGCTACATTGAGTTCTCTTGAGTACATATACCATTCTTTGAAAATTCAGCTCACATTTAAAACTGGATATGGAAGATACTGGATTAAGAAATTTTTTTCAATAGGATGGACATCAGTGGTTCATGCCTGTAATCTTAGCTACTCAGGAGGCTGATGTCTGAGAATCAGAGGATTGCAGTTCAAAGCCAGTCAGGGTAGAAAAGTCTGTGGGATTCTTCCTCCAATTAACCTCCAAAAAGCTGGAAGTGGAGCTGTGGCTCAAGTGGTAGAACTCTAGCCTTGAGCAAAAAAGCACAGGGACAGCAGAGCAGGCCCTGAGTTCAAGCCTTAGGACTGACATAACAACAACAAAAAATTTAGACAAAATGAAATAGACAAAACTATAAGCTAGCATATTATTGAAATACATAAAAAGTGGTCTAATATTTCTGAATCCCATGAAATACAGAACAATTTAGCAATTTCAGAGCATTTGCTTAAACTTTTCAAATAAACTAGACATAAGATGTGGGACCTATAATAAAATTTAGTGCAAATGTAGTATTTCACTTGTCTCATTTAGTAGGTAAAGAAGTGGCATTCAAGATTTTATGGCTAGTTAGTGGCAAAGAGTAAATCTCCCTTTATAATAATTTGTGCTAGCTGGGTGCCAGTGGCTCACGCCTATAATCCTAGCTACTCAGAAGGCTGAGATCTGAGGATCATGGTTCAAAGCCAGCCCAGGGAGGAACGTCCATGCGACTCTTCTCCCCAATTAACCACCAGAAAACCAGAAGTGGAATTGTGGCTCAAGTGGTAGAGCTCTCTCCTTGAGCTGAAGAGCTCAGGGACAGCAATAAGGCCCAGAGTTCAAGCCCCATGACCAACCAAAAATAAGTTTGTTTTTTTTGGGGGGGGGGGATAATCTCTTTACCTTTAAAATAACACATAAAGAGGCAAGAAAAAGGGTGATTTAACTTTTGTTTCATTTGAGGGTGCTATTGGGAGAGGTAGAGACAAGTTCTCTCTATGTAACTCAGGCTGGCCTGGAATTTTCTAACAAGTACAAAGCCTGAAATTCACTCTCCTCCTGCTTCTGCCTCACAGATACAGGGCCACCACAGCCAGGCAGTGATTTACCTTGTAATTAAACAATCTTTATCTAACTGCTTAAGGATTCTAAAATCCACAGAGTTCTAAGCAGTTAAGATAAACATTTAGTTTAAATTCTATTTGAGTAGTATTTATTTAAATTTCTTAATGCTTCTGTTCATAAACAGAAAAAAGTCAGGGTGCTGGTGGCTCATGCCTGTGTCCTAGCTATTAAGAAGGCTGAAATCTGAGGACTGAGGTTCAAAGCCAGCCCAGGCAAGAACGTCCATGAGACTCCTCTCTAATTCACCACCAGAAAGCAAGAAGCAGCACTGTGGCTCAAATGGTATGGTAAAGTGCTCGCCTTGAGCTGAAGAGCTCAGGGACAGTGCCCAGGCCCAGAGTTCAAGCCCACAATTGGAAAAAAAAAAAAAAAAAAGACAAGAAAAAAGAAACAGAAAAAAGACTATATCCTCAGGGATAGAAATACCTGAGCTCACCTAGCACATGCAATGCCTTTAGTTTGATACCCAGTACCACACAAAGAAGAAGAGGGAACAAAAGTAAAAGAGAAAGAGGGAAGGAAGGAAAAAAGAAAGGAAGGGAGGGAGGGAGAGATCCAAACCACAAAATATTTTCCTTTACTTTCTGTAAAGAACTAGGTTCATTCTTTGGCAAACAAAAAGTCCTTAGAGAATTTTCAAATATAAAAAAGCTATCTTGAAAATGCAGACATGATGGTTCTCCTAGTATGTATGTATGTTATTTATGTATGTATGCATGTATGGTCTGTTGTGGGCTTGAACTCGGGGCCTGGATGCTATCCTGAGCTCTTTTGCTCAAAGCTAGCCCTCTATCACTTTGAGCCACAGAGCCACTTCCAGTTTTCTGGTGGTTAATTGGAGATCAGAGTGTAACTGACTTTTCTGCCCTTGTGGGCTTCAAACCAGGATACTCAGATCTCAGCCTCCTGAGTAGCTAGGATTACAGGCATGAGCCACCAGTGCCCAGCTTTCTCCTAGAATTTAAATTCTAGGATTCTACTATCATTTCAGATTCTTATAAAAATGTTTTAAAAAGTCTAGTATCAAGGGTAAACAAAGGAGGAGGCTACAATGCTTGATAAGAAATGTACTCACTATCTTGCCCATGTAATTGTAACCCCTCTGTACAGTATTTTCACAATAAAAAAAAAAGAAAAAGAAAAAAAAAGTCTAGTATCACTTGAATCAAAACAGTAATTTGAAGTAGCACTCTCCAGCTAAGATACGTTTATTATTTTTATTGAAATATTTGAAAATTCAACTAAGGGTTGAAATCACTCTTTCCACTTCATTCTAATGCAAAGTATTTTCCTAAGGAAAAAGAAAAATACCTGAATGGCCCAGTGAGGTGGTACTTGACAGGAATAGAAAATCTTCAGACGTTCCAACACAGATGTAGTTTTATCTTCAAACTGGTCTGCAAGAGCCTGAAGAATATATAATAGTAAGAACCTGTGTAATAACTTGAATATAAACAAAATTCCTATTGCAAAAATCATACAATGTAAATACAAGCAATAAAGAATTCAAGTATTTTTAATAAGGTAGGTAAGTTGTGTGATCATTTCTTAAATTTCTTTAAATGTTTAAAAAACTTTAGCTTGTTCAACATTTACATAAACTTACTCAGGCTGGGAACAGAGCTCAATGGTAGAGGATTTGCCTAAGATGCACAAGACCCTGGGTTCAATTCCAAAACCACAAATCCCCAAGACCACAAAAAAACTAAACAAACAAAAAGCAACAACAGCCAGGTGATAGTGGCTCACGCCTATAATCCTAGCTACTCAGGAGGCTGAGATCTGAGGATCTTGGTTCAAAGCCAGCCTAGGCAGGAAACTCCTAAAGACTCTTATCTCTAATAAACTACTTTTTTTAAAAAAGCCAGAAGTGGTGCTGTGGCTCAAGTGGTAGAGCACTGGCCTTGAGCAAAAGAAGCTCAGGAACAACAACCAAACCCAGAGTGCAAACCCAGGTCTGGCAAAAAAAAAAATTTAGCAGGAAAAGTTTTATATAAAACAAAGACCTAGCCAGGCACCAGTGGCTCACACCTTTAATCCTAGCTACTCAGAAGGCTGAGATCTGAGGATCGCAGTTCAAAGCCAGACTGGGCAGGAAAGTCTGTGAGACTCTTATCTCCAATGAACTACTCAGAAAAGTAGGAAAATATCCATTTTACAACACAGTGCTGCTTTGACAATGGTACTCTATGAATCAACGAGGAACTATGTGAAGAACTTCACTCAGGATTATTTTCTCTGAAACCAAGGGAGAAAGCAGATCACCAAGAGAGTGGGTGCTCTCCTCAGCAGCAGAGCTTTAAGGCTAGACATCCATTCATACAAGATGGCTTGTGTGATGGATATGGAAACACTAGCCTAGTAATAATAACTGAAGCCTAGAAGGTAAAAGCAAGAAGCAGACCAACAAGGTCAAGATAGCTGACTCCAAGAAAAGGAACCTGGGCAACTACAAAGCTTTGAGTGACACCGTCCAATAGTCAAGTGATTGTTCACCAAAAGATGCACTCCAGAATCCTAGACAAACATCTCACAGCAGCTCCAGTGCCAGGATCATCTACTCCTGCCTCTCCATTAATCATTAAGTTTGTACTAAATAGACTTAATTATTCTGATCAACTTAGTCTTGCTCTCCAGCATGAATTACTATGACCCTTTTGCCACAATGCAGTATTCAAATGAGTCTTTTCCAGTTTTCAGACTTGTCTTATAAGGACTAGCTATCTGGATGTGTCAAAGTCAACTTTCTGATTTTAATGTATATATCAACTAAGTATGACAGTACTAAATCTGAAGATGAAGTACCATCTGGCAGCTTACTCTCCAATACTTCAGGACACAAAAGACAGATAGTTGTACTAATACCTTCTTTTAAACTATTCCAAGTTTTCTAAAATACACTTTAAAAGTTGAAAAAAAAAATTAAGTAAAATGTAGTAAGTACAAATTTTCTCAGAAGACAAGCACATCTTGAGGAAAGCCCAAGCCAAAGAGACCAATTTATAGGCAGGGAAACAGTTCCTAAATGGGAGGTTCTCATTCTTGTACGCAGTGGGGGATCCATTGTTTGTCCAAGAAGAGAATGAGCTCAAGTGTGAGTAAACACTCATTACATATCACTTCTTGGACAACCTACAATCCAATTCAATCAAGTCAGTCAGAACAGATTGAGACATAATCAGACTCCTAAGCCATTTTTGTCATTTCTGGCCTAACTTCACAGAAACTTACTAGCAAAAAGGTTGCAGGCTTCTCCAATGCTAGTGAGGGGTAGGGGTGGGGAGAGAGTATAACTTCTGGCTGAATGCATATGGTTATAATATCTAGAGATCACAGAAATGCTTATTGAAAGGGGGGGTAGATTTTTGTAGCAACATGCTTTTGTTTTGGAAGTAAAAAATAGCTAGTGCTGACTTAATTTCATAAAAGCAAAAACATCATACCTTTTGTCTGTAATGAACATTTCACTGTAGTAATAACAAGCAAAAAAGTAAGGATCCAACAAAACTAATGCTGTTTGCTGCAGTGACTAGCTAAAATATATTAAGTGCTCAGTAAATACTTTTGGATTTGTTAATAAACAGATTTTTATGAATCTCAGATACTCTCATTTACATTTAAATGATCTCAGAGTATCTAGGGGTCTTGGCTACTCTCCAAATGGCAAAGACCACTGGAGAGGGCAGAGACAATCAACACTCACTCAGCTGCATACCAAGACTAAGCCCCTGTACAAGAATGTGATTTGGCCATGTGCATGATAAAGATTAAAAACAGAACTCTACCCCATTTCATTCCTCCACAAAATATATTTCTTCCCACCTTAAGTATGACAACCATCTAAATGAGATTTACCTAACCATAAAACTAAGATCATCAAAATATTAGAAAAATAAGGGATGATGGTTATACTGTTATTTCCTCTCCTGGAGCCAAGGTATTCGTTTTGATTTACTAATTTGTTAAAACTACCAGGGCATTGCTCCAGTACATCTTGAGAGAGAGACAGACAGAGAGAGAGAGAGAGACAGAGAGATAGAGACAGAGACAGAGACAGAGGCAGAAAGAGACAAAAAGAGAGACAGAGACAAATATAGCTCACGCATGCATGTACATACTGTTACTAGGGCTTGAAATCAGGACCTCCAACTCTCACAGGACTTTTCCCAGGCAGTAGGCATGCTACCCCTTCAGCCATACCTCCAATTCAACAATATATCTTCAGGACTTTCAGAGCAGGATAATTTTTAACAACTTGTGAAATAATTCCATCAACTACAAACAAGTTGCAGACCTTCCCAGGCATGTCAAGCACTGGCAAGTGAGTGACCAGACTTCTTTTCTAATCCCAAAAGTGAATCATTTAACCCTAGTGGCAATCATTTATAAATGATTTTTTTAAATAAACTTTGCATGTTCAACAACCTATTATGATGGGTTTATCAAGAGCATTTTGCTTTAGTTGAAGCATTTGAGGAAGTTTGCTGGTCAACTGTAGGCATCATTTGTTAAACACAGTATCATGTACAACTTTTACAACAAACCAAGTACCCACATAATCTGGCAGTCAATGGTAGAGTGGCCTGAGAGAATAGGCCTGGATGAAACAAAGCCTTGATTACCACTGCATACATTTATGTATGAACAGAGTGTAAACTATCTACACAGCGCAAGCCTTCCAATATGTATAGAAATTTGAGGAAATGATCTCTGATGTCTGTCTCCTTCCTGCCTTTTCACCTATCCATTTTTTTCATCCCATTTTCTACATTTCCCACCTTAGCCATAAGTACCTGGTTACATCTACTACCTAGACAACTAAGATTGCCTAGTCTTCCAGAAAAGGTAATAATAAGATGGCAATATCCAAAATGGATAGAGATGCAAACATACCCTAACCAATCACTGATAGCCTCCTAAGCAATCTAAGAATTGAAAGCAAGACAAAGTCTACTCCAAGAGGGTGAATGAAGATGGCTAAATGGGCAGAACAAGGAGCACAGTGAAAACTAAATGCTTTGGGGTACAGTCTAGAGATGTGGGAGTCCAGTAGCAGGAAAGCCAGTTACAAGAACTAAATATTGCATAGGATTATTGTGACAAAACAGTATTTGCAAAGAGTTTTGTGTTTGTGCTAAGACAAGCTCTCAAATTAAAGGCTGGCCTTGAATTTGCCATCTTCCCGCAGTGACCTCTCAAGAGCTGGGATTTTAAGTGTGTGTCATTGTGCCTGGTTTGATTTCAAGTTTTAAGACTCCTTTCCAATGTCAGTTTCTCCCAAAATCCACATAAAAGCATTTATGCTTCAAGTGTTCCTTAAGAAAAACTACTTGTGCATATGGAGCTCCAAAACCTGAACAATGTCCACAGGTCCTGGAGCTGCAGTCCAGTCCTGTATATCAGGAGCACCCAAAGATAAAACTCCAGAAAGCAATGACATGTCCTTCTTTTTATATGGCTTCTAATCAAGAGAACCTCCACAAGGGAAGACTACATTGTAAAGTTAGGACACAGGATGATTCAGTACATACGGACAATTCTGAATCAGGTCTGGCATGATTTAAGCTTTATGCACGCAGACCTAAAAGATGCACACATATCTTCAAAAGAACACAGCAGGTCCCAAAAGACTTTTCACTGAAAATTATTCATTCTCATCATATCAAAGTGTTTATTAACTTTCTGAAGAGCCAAGTAGAAATTAGCTGATAATCTAAAAGGTATGAGTGATCATATACCTGCCTACCGTACACCTGCTTTGTTGTGCAATCTCCATACAGGTCTGTATATAAGAAGGAAGATGGAATTTATTACTTGAAAGAAAACACACACTTAACCAACTATATCTAACAGAGGGAATAAATAGCTTTATTTGACAGCAGCCTGCAGTCACTCAGCTGTGATTTATAAATAGAGCAGTCAAGCTGAGTGCCACCTCAAACTCCATACCTAAGAAAATTACTAACGGGAAGGTGGAAACAGCTCAAATGGCAGAGTGCCTGCCTAGCAAGTAAAATGTCCTGAGTTCAAACTCCAATATTGCCAAAAAAATTATTTTTTCCGATGGGAACAAAGTGAATCCGAATTAATCTACTGAGATAGCTACTGGGAATCAATATCAAGAAGCCTGTTGCTACACCAGTTTTACATCATAAGCATGAAATGGCAGCTCTGAGAAATAAAATGATTTGCCCAAGATCCCAACACTATAAATTGGTACGTTTAAACTATGTGAAATGGGAGCTTCATTAAAACTTTATCTTTGGATGGGGCTGGGAAGGTGGCTCAGTGGTAGAGTGCTTGCCTTGCATGCCTGAGGCTCTGGAAGTGGCACTGTGGCTCAAGTGGTAGAGCGCTAGCCTTGAGCTGAAGAGCTGAGGGACAGCGCCCAGGCCCAGAGTTCAGGT